CCCAATCGCCTTCTCTTTTATTTTTCAGCTAGCAATTTTATTCTTTTTAACTGAACACTGCTGCGATATTCTTCTTTTATGCATTATTTGTCTTGAAATTGGTAGACATGTACTCTGAAGGAGCTGCTTATAAGCTTCCATGGTGTAGAGTAACTCCAGAGATGTGTTTCGAATGTGCCACGAATACTGGATACAAGACCAGTGTCTTTCATCCGAAGCTTTATGTGTAAAACTCCTAGGTCAGAGGCGGACAGTTGTCTTAATTCACTGCACCAGCCCTGTAATGCCGCCGGCTTCATGTGGCGCAGTGGCGGATGTATAGGCTGCACCACGGTGGGCATGTTTTCATTAGCCAGCTTGTAAACAGAGTGGAAGACAGTCAAAGCAATGCTTCACGATTTCAAGTCCATTTCAATGGTTAAAAAACTCACAAAGAAGACTGTGCCCACACACGTTTTAACCCTCATCAGCCTTTTCTCGGCATGTTCAAAAACACACTTGATGAGGGACAGTTAAGTGAGCAATTTCATTCTTCTTTTGAATGATCCTTTGAACTATTACCAATTTTCAGCAGAGCACCCAGAATTTGTCTTTTTGACCGGATGTGACCCCCTAAACATTCAATGCGTTATGTGTTTTTCCTTCAATGTCACTAGTTTGCTCACCCACGCAAAGAGCAGTGGACTCCACAAATGTAACAGTCACCTGGTCTCCACTACCTTGTGCGGATCATTACGATGTGGAATATGCACTGAGCCATAAAGATGGTTGCGAACAGATCAACTCACTGATGTATGACCAACACTGCACATGTCGGGAAAGTCAAACCACTGTAAATGGTTTGATGCCAAACTCTCAGTACGTTGTACAAATCAAGGCCTATGTCAACGGTGCTTATGGACCACCGGCAACGACACAGATCACTACCACCTCAGCAGGTAAGTCAATATAAAGCCTTGATCTAGTTTCAATTACATTAATTTCGAATGTTGTGGTGGTGTTTAAGGACCAGTAACGACAAAAACAATCACAAATATTAACTGATTGCCTTTGTAACCGGTTTTTACCCTCATTCAGATTGGGAAGTAGTAGGGATTGGAGAGTTCTGGACCACACTCCCTTTTTCACCGTTTTCAGCAAAAACCCCTGGGTAGTACATCGACGCAAAAAATCGGGGGAATCCCTAAAAATCTGGAATTTCAGATTTTAATGGTTTTCCCTGGTTACCTCATCGACCCCAAAATCTGGCTCTAAAAATACAGGGTAAATATATACCTTTTGAGTCAAAATCTCTTTCACCCACACGCACCCGGGAATTTCCACTTCACTGACCTTGACCTTTTGGCCCCGGCGCACTTTTGTGTAAACAACTCGTGACTAGCACCGATCGCACCAGCAATCACTCACAAACAAAAAAGGGACTTCCCGTCGACCTGAACTCGTTTACAACCGCCTTAAATAAATGAACTATTAATAAAAGATGACTGATGCAGAACTTTGTCACTTGCTGAATCTAAAGGAAGTACACATAGCAGGATCTCAAAAACAAAGTAAACCGATACCTCCTTGTAACCACCAAATACTTGAAATAGATGAAAGATACGCGTGTAAACATTGCGGTCTAATTTTTGGGTTCGCTTCGCTCACTTCTTTCACCCCCGCCGACATGGGAGATAGATATTACAAGCATCACGTTTGGAGGAAACCGCCGCCACCAAAATCGAGAAAAACCCTACAAAAATATAACATTTGTTTTAAAAACGGCGAGGCGGGTAAAATAGAATATAAGTTAAACCAAGTTTTCATCATAAGACCCCCCCTTCTTCTCTCCTTTCCTATTCCGATATTCCCCAAATCTATCCTATGCTGCACGTCGCGGTGTAGGACAGGTTTTATTTTTGCCCAAATTTCTGCCTGCCGCAAACTGAGCCACAAAGTGGGTACCAACTGGACACAAACTGAGTCAAAAACTAGGACCAAACTGAGTCACAAAGTGGGTACCAACTGGACACAAACTAGGTCCAAACTGGGAACTGTTGCCACAAACTCGGTCTCAAACTGAGTCACAAACTGGGGAACTGGGCACAAACTGGACACAAACTGGGGAACTGGAGCCACAAACTGGGGAACTGTTGCCACAAACCGAGTCACAAACTGGAACCGAAACAGGAACCTCACCTACATAGAAAAACTGAGAACGATATTGGAATCGTATACAATTTATAAAATTATAATTCATATATATTAGAAGAAATCCAATTGGATGAAATCCAATCCGATAGAAAAAGAACAAAAACATGAACCAAAACAGGAACCAAAACAGGAACAAAAACAGGAACCAAAACAGGAACAAAAAAGTATCTTTCTACAAACACTCGGTCTTCGCACCCAAAAACGAATCGGTCCCGCTTTGCTTTTGTCCAACGCCTACCAGAACAATCTGCTATGCGACGTTTCTGAGTTGGACTACGTATCTGGTAGCCGAGACAAACCCAAAGATATAGAACCCGTCCAAAGCGAATTCGTAGACGATATATACCTATTTGGTTTTGTGTCTAAAAACGCCGTATTTGAAGCAAAAGGCCAGCTCCATCTTGTGCAACGCGAAGAAAACCCCCAAGCAAAATGCATCGTCAAAACGATTTCGCTAGCTTTCCAGCAAGTCTACGAATCGTTCTGCCCCACAAAAATCGTACATATGGTGCATGCATCGAGCGAATGCAAAATCGGAAAACCATTCGTAGCAACGGCAGGTACCGGATGCTGGTGCGAATGTGGCAGAAACTCTGAAAAGACCAAGAAGAGCCATACGCCTACTACCAAACAAAAGTAGACGTATCGGAAATGCCGATTGGGAAGCAATCCGATCGATTGCCAGTGGTAGAGAATTTGCTTCTTCCATACGGAATCGGTTTCTACAGCATCGACTACACGCAGGATTTCGCCTGTACGTTTGATCCTGAAATTTTGGAAAAACAAATCGCAAAGGAAGAATACGACATCGGAGACGACCGGCTATGTCTACAAAGACAGAAAACAACCGGTAAAAACTGCGTTTCGTGGGTAGAACAGAAAGACGGTGAAGAAAAACGAACGAAAGTGTACAACAAAGTCGTATTCAATATCAAAGCGGGGGACGTTCGGAAGCAACGTATCTCGCGGACCTCGTTTCTTGTCGGAACAAACACCTGCGCAGTACATTTTCTGATCCTCGATGCGTCCGCCATGGGTGTACAAGAATCGAAGTCTCGGTGCGAAATCCTGATTTGAGAAAAATGGCGAGCCATGCCAAACGAGAAATCGAGCAAATACGCGAAATGTTGAAAAAAATTCTCGGTACCGATTTTTCTTTCTTGCAGCATTCCGTGCCATTGGCAAACGGTGGCGAGTTCGATCGACCGGCAGTGCATCGTAATCGACGTACCAAATTCGACAATCTATGTAGGCTGGTACGCCAATGTATCGACCAGGCACGTCGCGGGTGTTGCCGTTCCGTCCAAGACCAAAACCTAAAAGTAATTGTCTATGGCCATTCGAGCGGCAATCGCGGAATATTGTTTTGTCGATTTGCCGATTTTTGTGTTAGTATCCAGCAAGTTTTTTCTAGAACCGGCAAGCGTGTGGTACAAAAAAGAAGGCGAGACGATCTTGTGCAACGCGACTTCCCCGACCGCAGTTCGAGAATACAAACCGGAAATCGTCGATGTACTACCCGACGGCGAACACATTCGATGGACCTGGCGAGAAAAAGCCAGTAACAAGAAACAAGGCACATATGCAGTTCCGGATTTGGATCGTTTTGTATACCAAGTGCCATTCGATGAAGAAATTGCGGTACATACGTATTCCAAACAACGACTCGAATCTATTCTTGACCAATTGAGAGAGACGGAGCTCGAACTCCAGTGGCAAAGAAAACCTGGCCTGGCAAAAAGAAAACCAGGCGAAATTTGCGGAGACTTGGCCAGAAAAAATCCGAGAGATACAAAAGCAAGCAATCTGGGAGGCCAGAGAACGAAGACTCCAGGAAGCGGCGAAAAAGACTTGTATGTCTTGTACAAATTTCTACGATAGATATCTGTCTTCGAGAAATACCGAGGGGGAATTCTTTGTACAATTCTGGGCTTTGTATTCCACGGTACCGAGGTCAAAAGACCATTTCTTTCGAATCTATCTAGGTTCCCAAAGTTTGTAGATTCCAAGTTTGTAGACCCAAAGTTTGTAGATTCCAAAGTTTTTCTAGGTTCCAAAGTTTGTAGATTCCAAGTTTTCTTCCAAAGTTTTTCTAGGTTCCAAAGCTTTTCTAGGTTCCAAAGTTTTTCTAGGTTCCAAAGTTTGTAGATACCAAGTTTGTAGATTCCAAGTTTTCTTCCAAAGTTTGTAGATCGAAAAAAAAAAATTTTCCAAAGTTTGCAGATCCAAAATTTTCTTCCAAAGTTTGTAGATTCCAAGTTTTCTAGGTTCCAAGTTTGTAGATTCCAAGTTTTCTTCCAAAGTTTGTAGGTTCCAAGTTTGTAGATTCCAAGATTGTAGGTTCCAAAGTTTTCTTCCAAATCCACCAACAGCGCGAATCGTTGGTCCATCGTGTTCGTCGGAGTCGTCTTTTTGGCCCCGATTCTACAAGAAATGGGCGCCACGAGCGTTAAAACGTCTATCTCGTTCTTTTCAAAATAGTCGTCCAACCAATGGCTTCCAAACCACGATCGATTCCCAGAAGAGTCGATGAGCTCTATTCGAATTCGTTCTTTTCCTCGTATACGTTTTGTGAGAAATCTTTGAGCCGTATATACACCCTCTGGCACTCGGCATATCTTTTTGTCCGAGGTCCATCTCGTTTCGTCCAAATAGGGCTCATCTGGAACCGTGTATACCACTGGTGGCTCGTCTATGGAAAAGAGCACTATCGGATTGTACGAAAACTCTTTGTAGGGTCCGTATCGGACCGTCGTTGGAGGATCTATTCGTATTTGTACTTTTTTTTTTCGCAATAGAAAAGATGGCAATCGCGTGTTTTGTTTTTTGTATCAGCTGCTTTTGTAGCAACCAGTCATATATATCGATAGTCTGCCGATTTGCGTATAGCCGGACACTGCGTTTGCCGCAATCGTTACATTGGTGACCTTCGTCTTCGTATTCCAACAGAATCGATAGATAGATAGTGAAGTGGAAATTCCCGGGCGCGTGTGGGTGAAAGAGATTTTGACTCAAAAGGTATATATTTACCCTGTATTTTTAGAGCCAGATTTTGGGGTTGATGAGGTACCCAGGGAAAACCGTTGAAATCTGAAATTCCAGATTTTTAGGGGATTCCCCCGATTTTTTGCGTCGATGTACTACCCAGGGGTTTTTGCTGAAAACGGTGAAAAAGGGAGTGTGATCCAGAACTCTCCAATCCCTACTACTTGGGATTTGACCAGCAAAATATCGGAAAGAATCTTTTATATGTTCATGCAATCTCTCCTGGAATTTGCCATATTGCAGCACCGACTGGCCCACCCACACTGGTGACGACTGAATCTATTGGCCAACGCAATCTCACTTTCACCTGGAGTTCTCCATCGTGTGGAGACCGAGGCGGTACCCTCACGGAATACGTCTATGAGCTGAGTAGCCCAAATACTGGATGGAAGACTTCTGCACCTATATCTGCTGAGGAAGTCACAATAAATGAACTTCTCCCCTTCACAAATTATAGTTTCCGAGTAATCGCAAAGAACAGCGTCGGGAATGGCCCGTTCAGTGAAGCAGTAACTGCGAGGACTTTGGAAGCAGGTGAATTTAATAGTTTTTTAACAGCTTGGTTTTCCTGAAAATCTTTCATCTTGAACCATTTCTTTTACTCATCAATCAATCAGTCCGACGTTATTATTTTTTTATACATGAACAGAACTTGAAAGCATGTCAGCTTGGAAAAGCTTAAGTTTTCTACCGGCAGGGTTACGTCTTTTTTGACAATTAAACCTTTTCAACGATATGCTGTCAAGGAGATGTAGTTTTGGTTTACTTTCTGTCCAAGTGACTAGACCCTGATTTTCTAATTGCACTCCAAAGAATTGCAAAGTGGATTGAATCCCATCGTGCAAAACTCGCTGCTTCATAACTTTGGATCATATCTAACTTTTATTTGATTATGCATTCTACAGAGCCAACAGTTCCGTTGAATGTTCACATCCAGTCGGTGGACAACGTTTCTGTCATTCTCCGATGGTCGGAACCAGACCCTCCAAGGGGAGTTATCACACACTACAATGTTCGCTACTGGAAGAGTGCCCAAACAGATACTATGGAGACTACAGCGGATGTGATGGGATTGATGCATCGTGTGGCAGGGCTGGAAGCGAGTTCAACCTACCTATTTCAGGTTATTGTTACTTTGGAGATTTCATTTCACAGGTGGATGTCAACATGGCCAACCCTATTTTCAGGGAAATAGGGCTTAGAATAATTGCATCAAAATAGTTTCACGAAAACGGTTTCGAAACAATTAACCTAAACTTTGTTTAACTTTAGTTAGGTCATGACTGATGAAAATTCGACAGACTGTGAAATAAAGAATATTAATATGTTATTCCTTTCCTGTTTACAAGTCCGCGTCAATTTCTGCTGTATTGGTTAACCGTAAAAATCAAATAGGAGTAACAACTGAAATTGACGTAATATTAAATTGATAACAAACTTGTTCTTGCAGGTGCAAGCCACAACATCAGCTGGTGCTGGTCCTTGGAGTGAGGCTATCAACACAACGACAGCAATTGGAGGTGAACACGAAAACTGATCAGTAATTCAGTATTTGATTTACTCGCAGCGATAGTAATGTGGATGGATATTCGATCCATGTTTTCTTTAATACACACTACTCGATTTCTTTTCCTTTTCAGTTCCAGGGCCAATAAGAAACCTTACTTACACGGAGAGGACAGAAACATCGATCACTTTGTCGTGGAACCCACCTCTGGAACCTAGAGGGCCCATTCTCGGTTACATAGTACGCATACGTGCATATGTAAACAGTTGTCCTACTTTTTGTCTTTTTACGGCATAACAAATATCTAATTAGTTTCATCGGATTTCTTTGTAGATTCTTCAGCATTCTTCTAATGTTCATTTGTGTTACCAGTAACGTTTGTAAAGCCAACAGGTATTTCTCTGAAGATGTGAAGCACTAAACAAGGGTATATTAGTGGTTATTGTTATCATACAAGTTGAAGACGGAACCAGGCAAAGAGCAAATGAACAAATCGTCGCGTGCCCGGCAGAAGGGCGTAAGCGCTTAGGCCCTTCTGCCGGGCACCTACGAAATACATGCACTAACAGCAATAGAAAGTCTATACTTTGCAGTACTATCTGAGATCTTAATGGACACATTTATATGCCCATGTCCTCATCAATGGTTGCTTTCCTCAACAGATCATCAATTGAAAAGGAAGTAAGTTCACACTTTCAATTTTGACTTCTGGCAGGTGGAGTACAGGATTTTAGAGAGTCCTCAACCACACCTACCTGCAGAGAACGCATATCACAGCAGTGAAGTTCAGGGATCACCTTTTCTTCAGAACAACCTCAATTCCGGCACAAAATATGAGTTCAGGGTCGTGGCGAGGAATGGGATGTTCCAGGGGACTCACGATGAAGTCTTGGTGGTGTATACGAAGCCGCTAGGTGGTGAACAGCTGCTTTCAGACCATTAAATGATGAATGAAAATCTCAATTATCAAATGACACGAAGACGATGAAGAAGTTATTGTTTACAAATGGTCCTTGATTATTTCAATTTCATCAGATCAACGTATACCGCCTCGACCAACTCTCCATCAAGCCGAAACCACAGATACGACAGTAACAATTAGTTTCGTTGCCCTGGGGTCTGAAAAGCGCATCGAGTAAGTAAAAACAAAAACAGCAGAAATGCACATTCACCCCGATTTTTCATGTCGGTTTTATTTCAAATTATATATTATAAATAAAACTGATCTGTATCAGATTGAGACTTAGGCCCTCCAAAATATGGGCAAGCGCGTTATTGTATCGTCCAGAAGTCCACTTTTTCAGATTTCCCTTGGTCCAACAGAGGAAATAAACATTGGCCTATGTCTGTATGTTTACACCATCTCACACTTTAAATGTAACGTTTCAAGTTGCGGTTTTTACGTGAATTTCCAAACTTCACTTTTCAAACCGTGTTCTATCACACGGTACACAGATCACATGTTATCCATGTAAAGAGGCTTGGTGTTTTGTCAGTCAACAAGAGGGATGTCCTCGTACCAGGAAGCTACGAGGACCCAGCTAGCGGGTACATTACGGCCAAATTTCTCAAGAATAACCTCCCAGAGATATTTGTAGTCGGAGATTCTAAGATGTATGATGGCTACTGGAATGCACCGCTACAGAGAGATGCTGTCTACAACATCAGGGTGGGGTCTCTTACTCAAGTCAACGAAAGGGTGAGTTACATGTTAATTTTCATGACAAAAAGCTAAGGTTGCGTTTGTGAATATAGTCTATGAAAACTAGGCCGTGGGAGATTCTGTACAGTAACAACACGCTTGAGTTAAGATTTTATTCGTGTAAAAAGTCAATGGTCACAAGGCCATAAGATCATTTTTAAACAACACGTTTATTTAATTTTCAAGGAAGGAATAATCATTTGGATTTTTTGCACTTTTCTGGTAAAATTGTTCTACAGGAAGTCAATGTAACATACTCAGAGCCACTGACAGTTACTGGTAAGTGATATTTTAGTAAGGTATGGAAATTAGTCATAGATGTGTACATTGTTGGAACGGTTGGCGTCGCAAGGATTTTTCCAGGGAGGATAAGAACATCTCTCCCAAGAAGAAACAAATTCACGGTGGCCATAGCGATCATAAACAACGAACATATGCCGGATTAACACTTGAAGGGATCCAATATGAGGGTTTTCAACCAAACTGGTGATTTTTTTAATCTTTCTTTTTTGTATTTTTTTCTCTTTAATTGGATTTTTCTAAGGGGCAACCCCCACGAAATTCCCACGATTGGAATGAAAAGATCGAAAAGAATTTCAGAACAGTTTGATTTGGCTTGTTTTTGTAGTGCAACCTTCAGAACCTGCAGAAAACCAAAATGCAGCAATTATAACAGCTGCCGTGCTTGGTCCAATTTCGCTCGTTCTTACATTGACTGTCGTCATTACATGTGTGATATGGAGAAGACGAAGTCTGAAAAGTACCTCCAATGATTCCCTGCTGCCAGGAACTGTGGAAATGGTGAGTTACAGTGGCATTTGAATAGTCGTAGGAGTTCACTTGTGAGCTTAGTTTAAAAGAAAAAATTGATCCCAAAACGTTTTTAAAAGTCCACTTTCAATCGGCCTGTTACACTGTTTCAAATATGAGGCTCAGGCCAGGTACCATTGCATAATCGGTTAAACAAAGGCTTCTAATTCTGACAAGTTTGCGGGTGTCTTAATTGATGAGATTTCACTGGTCTTTCTGGCAAGGCACTTTGCTTTGATAAGATGGCTCATTTTTTAAAACTGTGATTCATGCCTGCAAGCCCAATGTAAAAAGTGATGCAATTCTCGTTATCAGTTGTGTTTCTAAGTAACGTTCCGGCTGCTTTTAAAAAGACCGCATTTAGTTTTTCGTTTCTTTCCAAGATGGTCAAACCTTCAGCTCACTCCCCTGAGTCTGCTGGTGCAGACAACAGGGACAGTGTCATTTACGAGGACACGGTTCTTCCTTCCGGGACACAAAAAATGGATATCAAATGGAAGAATTTGATCGTTGAGGACGTAGTTCTTGGCAAGGGCAACTTTGGTGAAGTACGGGCAGGAGGCGTTCGGGTCAAAGGCGAAGTCACCAAGGCAGCTATCAAAACACTAAAAGGTAACACCAGTTGTGTAGTACAATGACTGTGGTGTTAAATTAAATTGAAATAAGATGGTACCTTAAAAGGATAAGATTAATACTGTAAAAAACTGTGTAATAAGATATGCTTTCATATGTTGATTGTAAAACAGGCCAATAGTTTTTCACAAAAAATAATTGTCTATGCTGATCTCATTCTTTTTTCTGATATGGTCTTTTAAGATGGCGCTTCTGATTCTGCTGTGAAGGATTTCAAGGAGGAAATGCAGACAATGGCGAACATCAAGCCTCATCGTAACATCGTTTCTCTCTTGGGGGCGTGCTATCATGAAGGTATATCGTCAGCAAATCTGTGTAATCTTATCAAATAGTGGTTTGCGGTCTGCGATAACACGAAACAGTATAGGCCTAATCTTTACAAGAACAAAACTGAATTCATGACAATTCCCCTTTTTAACGCACATTTAATATCAATTTCTATCAAAAACGTGACCTCGACTCAGGAAATTACATATACTAAGACAACCACATTATCTTGATCTTTACTTCAAACGTTTTCTTTTCGATGCTTTATTTTTAAATGCTGTGATTCTACATGGTCGGTTTTCAAGCAAAAGCTTTACCAGCCTCACATACTTTGGGGTCAAAGCGGCGCAGATAGTACAGACAACCTACTATGCATGCCTCACAGTGCAGCCAGCTATTGTGGAAATTGCAAGTTTGAAGTACGTCGTTCATTGTGTCCAGCACTACCAGGGGTTCCTGGAGACAATAAAAACTTGTCCATGAACTGAACTAATACTACTGTTTCTTTCAAAGGGATTTTGCACGTCGCACTTGAATATCTTCCTAATGGCAACCTCCGAGATTATCTGAGGAGAAACCGCCCAAAGCAGGAACAAGGAAAGGAGCAAAACACCGAAACATCTCATTTGACTTCTTTAAACTTATTGACATTTGGTGCAGATGTAGCAACAGGAATGGACCATCTTTCTAAGACAGGGGTTTGTTAAGAGCTTATATTTTCGGTTAATGTCGCAGTTCCATCATTAGGTAAACAATTTATTTCATTTCCTTATTCAATGTGTATGTTTATGTTAGGGAAAACCACAATGATGCATTCTGACTGAGGTTAACGCTCTCAAGTCAATGACTACCATTTGATACACCTGATAAATGTGGGAATAATTGTCAGTTACATTTCCCTTCAGATCATCCACCGTGACTTGGCTGCAAGGAATATTCTTCTTGCTGAAGACTTAACCGCCAAAGTCTCTGACTTTGGCCTTTCCAGAGGGGAGGATATCTATGTTCAGAAATCATCGGTAAACTAAAATAAACAAAATCAAAAGCCAGTAACTGCGATTTGCTACCGAAACAATAACTCGAAAAATTGTCATAGGTTTCTTATTTGGTTTCTCATTCGTAAAATGTGACGCCTCTTCGATGTGTCACTTCATTTTAAAGTAATAACTACATCTATGAAGGATTTTAAAATTAACAATTCACTTACAATTCATTTTGGCCAATAAATACCAGTAGTTTGATAAGAAATCGGGCAATCACAGTTCTGATCAGGAACGATTATCAAGTAGCTAAACGATTTCAGAAATAGGTGTCAGTAGTGAGCCTTTTTTTAATAGGTTTTATCGTTTATTTCAATACGTCGGATTTGATCGCTTGTGACTGATTGTTTGGATGTGCGTGTGCGCGAAAACGTATAAGGGCCCCACCACTACTCAGCTCTGCCTAATCGGCCCTGTGACAATACGTCGGCTGGTTCACCGTCGAGTTTGTATTGGAAAAGAGAAAACTTAGATCTTTATTGGTTGGAGGTATTACTCAAGATTTGTGTCCTGACGAAAAATTGCAAAGTGTGGGTGAAAAGCGTTTCTACAAATAAAAATTGTAAAAATTGTGTCACGGCCGTTCACTACAAAGTGACTCGGCAGACTTCCTTCCTTTTTTTCCTGAGAATGTCACGATTGGTTTGCAACTAGTGGCCGAATTTTAACGCAAAGATGCTTTCCCTTGTTTTCAGACACGGATTCCAGTCCGCTGGTTGGCCATAGAATCCCTGACTCGTCGTATCTACAAGTCCAAGAGTGACGTGTAAGGATGAAAACCTGATTCTCGAGAAAGAATTTGTCCTTTATCAAAGACTGATGCCAATGCTTCCACTGTGAATTGATGTTACCGTCCAATAAGTGTATTGTCTATTTGAATTAGATTAAGAGAGCCAAAGTATGTACCAAGTGATAAAAAACTTTCGATATTTTCTAATTATTTCACGCTACATTGGAAGAACTTAATAGGGAGTAGGCCTAGTGAGAACTGTCCTGATAACATTTAACAAAGAATAATGTATTGTTCATTTTTCGATTCTCAGATGGTCGTTTGGAATCCTGCTGTGGGAGATAGCAACATACGGTGGGTTGTAGCGTTTAAAACGTTTCAATCAGTGTTGAATAAGAACCTACGACTAATTTTTGATTTACAAATGCTGTTTATCGCTTTTGCCAGGATCCACCCCATACCCTGGGATTGAGAGCAAGTCACTGGCTCAAAGATTGTTAGATGGATACCGCATGCCTAAGCCGGAAAACTGCACCGATGACATGTAAGAACTGTTGAGAAAGTGCAAGTTTCGATACTTCAGAAACGACTGGAATCGACTCTATTGGAATCGATTCCACTGTCAAACAGTCCAAAACGATTTATTTTGTGTTCCGCTATAAACCATTTCTTGGCTAATAAACCAGAAAAAATACTAAAAACGTTGAAATTCCATAATAAAAGAGCAGCGGTTTGCATTTCTCACACGATGAGTAAGTGTTTTCTTGCATTGTTTATAAAGCTATAATCTGATGCTGGAGTGTTGGCAGGAGATTCCAAGCAGACGTCCGACCTTTAAAGAAATCAACGAAGTTCTCGAGGACATGAGCGCCCATTCGAATGAACAAGTAAATATGGTTCTGCAGTTCAAAGCGTACTATTTGGGTTTATTTATCAACTTTTACACTGATTCACCATATATCCAAAAACTACCCTACTTGCAGTGAATTGTTCAGTATGCTTTTCTTAACTTTCTTGCTCATTGAACATCTTTTAACTGAAAGGGTAAGTAAAAAAAATAAAATCAAATCTTCATAAAAGTTTTAAATACCATATTCCCATTATTTTGCAGATTTACATGTCACCCACCATCTACGAAAACTTCATCATCAAGAAAGAATTCGACGATAACTAGGTCAATGCAATGGCCCATATCATATAAAGACTCATTGTGGAAATCATTCTGAGTGACTATTTGATTCCTTTCAATGTTTTGAGTTGGAAACATACTGATACAGAATTTTAAGAGCAAGCGATCAATAGGCATATATTCGTACATACACGGAAATACTCATACAGTAATAAATAAGTGTAGTTATCTTAATTCAATTGCATAATGATTAGATTAGGTATTTTTGTATTTCATTTCATAGCAAAGGGCTCAAACCGCGTTTTGTGGATATTTTCTAATAAATAGCTATAGCTTCGATATCGTATGTAACCTTAGTATTTGAAATACCTGCTGGTAATTTACCTTCCACATATTTATAGTATTTAGTGCAGTTAAAGGTTTTTTTTCTGTTATTTTGTATCCCGTTTTGTTCGTCTTTGCAAGTTCAGATACCCTGATGATTTGTAATTTGATTGATGTGATTTGCATGCAGTGAATCTACTCTTTCGGTACCCTTTCGGAAGAGTTCTGATCATCATTATTCTGTCTACTTCATTTTGTCGTTTAAATTTGAACTGTATGCATTGCTTGGTAAAAACGTGTAAAGTGTGAAAAAATCTTAGATTGAATTTCTTTTCCATTGAAACATTTCTTTTGGCTTTGAGTTAATTTTGAGAATTTTACACTTTACTTTCAAATTGTTGATTTGAATTTGAGTCAGGTGATTGACCTTATTTTTCACCTTGCTTTGTTATAATAAAGATTTCAATTTAAGTTACTTTAACTTGACTTTCGTTTGCCTTCAGAATTAGTTTGCTCTTCCCTTGTGCGTTACTTCATAGCCTGGTTTGAAAGTTCTCTCTTAAACTGCTCGATGGATTTGTACTTCAGGGTGTTATTGAATACTTATTCGTAAAACGGTTTAATAGTCAGTAACTCGTTTTCAAAAACCAAGCAAATGTTGTTGCACTACTATACACTACCAACGTTATTATTATTATTCGTTTGAAATTGTCTACAGTAAATTCTCGATAACATTGATTTCTAGAAAGTAAACTTTGATGTATATACTCAGATGTATAGGTCAAGCTGTGATTTTCGATATAAATAACTTTTTGTTATATTTGTACTATTCTAAGAAGTTATTAATGAAATAAACCTGATGCAAATTACGAATAGCAGCAGGAACACGGTACAAATTTGTCTGCATCGTAGACTTTGTTCAAGCCTTACAGTGTTGATAACACAATTAAATACCATGCGTAAAGGAAGGCAAAGCAGGTTTATAGACAATATTGTTTATTCACACTAACAAATTTACTTTCTTTATGTCATCAGCTGCAAAGTTTCGACAACACTAGCTTGGGGTCAGAAAAGCCACATTTAAAATGACGTTTTCCCGGTGTTTCTTCTTCTCATTTCCAAAGACCCTTCAAACTCGTTACTCACTTTATTAATCACACACTCATCGTGTTGAAACATAAGTGAACCTACAGACAGTGTCTTTCATGTATTGTCTATACAGGTACCTATACCTCTACATAAAGGGAATGAAGCTTGCAAGTACAGCCTCTCTCTTAGCTCCATCTTACAAATAGACCCTTAAACAATGGTTGAACTCCAGGTGCACAGATCTTTTGAGTCGAATAGAAACGCAGCCTGGTAACCTTGGGAAAATTGCACTTTATATGCGTTATTAAACTTATAGCCAGGGAACTTCAGTTTCTTATAAGAACGTTTTGGAGGAACTAAATGTATCAATAGTAAAGCTAAACGCATCTCAGAGTTTCCGGGGAATAACTTAGCCCAATATTAGTGTGTTTCATTGTAACAGAGCCCTGCATTTTGTGTTGATGCCAAGCTGGAGTAGACGTAAGCTACAAATTTAATGTATGTCCCCAATTTCAACCAGCATGGGTGTGTAGGACTGTTTCAGGTACAGCCTTGATAGACTCTAAAATATCTTCCTGTCCCACAGCCGGCGGGGGGGGGCTTTGAGAGTTGGATACAAATTTCATTTGTTGAGTGGCAAGCTCGTCTATCAGTCTGGGTTCCACGGTCGAGAATGCCTTATGTAACTCCTAAGCACTGCATTTAAAGTTGATGCCACAGTCAGACAGTATCTTGAAGGGTTTACGGCCTCTGCATGGACGCAAAATTGTCTGAAGGGGCATTAGGAAGGCGTCATCTCTGCAACTTCCTAGCACGTCTTGTACATTTACAGATATTGTATGTTCCAGCGCTCCTTAGTGCCTCTCCCTGTTTATTATCATGGGCCCAAAACAGCCAACTCCACATAGTGAAGAATGATGGCTTCCGTAGTCGCAAGTGTGCTGAGCACAAATCAACCATCTTTACAATGTCAGGATTGGCTCACCATCGTAGAAACCAGAAGCATCTGTACTGATGCTTATACGAGTTGCCTCTCATCTTCTCGGAACTTACTTACATCTATCTCTCCAAGCACACACTCTGGTCTGTACGTAGTGAAGTTGTTTCCTGCTAACATTTTGGATCAGAAGCTGGGTGATATGAACTGGATCCATGACAAACAGTGGACAATAATCACGCCAATTTATGAGATTTCTATCATATACATAGGTCCCTGTGGTTAAAATTAAATAAAATGTGGCGAGTAGGAGACTCCGTATAAAATATTATTTCCACTGCTCTCATCGCCTTTAACCTTCAAAGTATACTACGTCACAGGAATCGGGTGAGCACACGTTTCCTGTCGAGGATCACGCTGAGGACCTGCGTTACGGCTAATCGGGTTGGTGTGCATTGCACTGTGCGACGTCTGCATTTGGAACGGTCTAACAATAGAGTGCTTTCCAGGTCATTTATTCTTTAGAAATCAGAACATACCAAACCAAGTGGCTGCCGTGCACTCCTTGCTGCTGCATGATTCCTATTGGTCGATCACTCAGTCATGACCCTACTAATGCAAATAGGCCTACGTCCTCACCAGAAACTAGTTTGCAAACCACAGCCGTGCTTAATTCCGTGTTGGGATTATTATAATTTTGGTTAGGATTGCATAAATGGGTTGAAAATTGTGACGTCCATTCATGTCGACTACCTGTTCACAAAAAGTGACTTTGAAATAAGACATCAGAGGCTGAGGAAAACTGTGCAAAAGCTAAAAAAAAACAGAAAGGGGAAAAAACTAGCACAGTGATGATCTCGAATGAAAGGCAGGCAGGACGGAAGAGTACTATCCGGGATTACCCAGGTCCCAAAAGATCAACAAGTGCACTCCATTCATTACGTTTGAAATGCATGAGTCACCCAAGCCGAGAATTAAGTATGACAGATGATGTCCCCTTAATATCTCGCTTGTGAAATAGCAACCAGAGAATTGGTAACTTAGATTATACTGGAAAGAGCCAACGTTTACAGTGGGAGACAGCATCAGTAAATGGGCACCAGAAAAACCCAGTATCCTACCTCTACCTCTCCCAAGTCATAAACATGCCGAGGAAAGTGTAGATCTTGGCCTTGGAATAACATCATTCTTGATTTTGTCCATTATTATGAATGGAGATATGTCGGGGCCGAACAAGCCAGGAAGACGATAAGAATATCAGTAGGGCTTATCCTAAACTCTGTCGAAGTAAAAATTGTGACCACAGTTTTCCCTTAGCTAATGAAGTACTCTTGGTCCTTTCATGCATGTTTGTGCTATGCAGAGAATGACTACAGTCAACCTGTACAAGGGAAAAGGATTGTTATCCGATCAACCTTTCAACTAGTTCCCCTCTTTGAGGGCCTTTAATTTTTGTACTACTGGCCTTGCTACCCGTATTGAATAAATCGAAAGCCGGAAATATGAAACACACACATGTAGTAAAATGCAGGTGTTTTTATAACGTGAAGTGTAGAACCCGGTTGAAATGTGAGTGAATTTACATGTGGCGCAGATTTTGAGCCATGGGTAGAAAAATGAAACTTTCATGAAATGATTGCCTATTTTTTATCCGTAAATGAATTCTCATCACCTCCGAGATCAAGGGAGGTGTATCGTTTCCGAAGTGCTCCTGACAAAATGGCAATATGTAGCGACTTAACGCAAGTGCCCTCCCCCTGTCCGCTGAAAACGACACTGGATAAATTCGTAACCAATGACCATATTCAGCAGCGACACAGACAAGTTTTGGCTGAAGCGGGTCATCCATGTCTCAATCATTCTTTTTTTATTTTATCCTTTTCATTATTTTCTATGCTACCTTGTGGAAATGATGAGGACATTTTCACGTTTTGGTGTAAACAAGTCATACCAGGATTAATATGTTCGAAATGGAGCACGTCAACACCACACATTCCTTTAGCAACGCCAATCCATTTCTTCATTAATCGCCACTTTCTGGAAACAAAACCCGGACGTATTCTTTGTTTTAACTGCATTTTGATCATTAAGTATTAATGTTAAGGTTCCGTCCATTTTGCACAGCTTAATTCGTTTTTCGACTATAGTTGCAGACTTCAGTATCAAACATTTCTTTCAGACCACATATTGTTTTCTTCATGTCATCAATTAATTAATCACTGATCCAATTTCTGCACGAGACAAAAAGGA